TAATGTATTGTTATATTATAATGAAAGACAAAACAACCGATATGCACACACACACACACACACACAACAGGCTGCTCACACAAAAAGAAATATCTATGGCCACTGACCATGTGGTAAGATGCACAATTTACAGTGGCCAGATTAAAACTATAATGCATTCCTACCTACACCATTTTTAGAGATTTTAGAGATTAATATCATTTTCACACAATATTTACACTAAAAAGTTACAAACTCAAGGCTTTTTATCCTCAAGAAAAAGTAACCAACCAACCCTAAAATCACCCACTGGCAGAGTGACTCAAGACAGGCTGCACAGAGTAACTGAGATCCACCGTATCTCAAACGTTAAAGATGAGGTGGGCACTCTTTCAAAGACCACTGGGCTGTGTTATTTATTGTCTTCCTTATGTATTTACATACTTTCCACTGTTCATGAACATTATTTTAATGATCACAAAAATGTTTAATTAAACTAATCAGGGGGGAAAAACCCAACTCAAGAACAAAAAACATTAGGAAGCGATGATGGAACACAAATTAGGTTTTCTAGCTAATGTTGAAGTTACTAAAATTAAGAAGATACTATTTACATACACACACACTCCTTCTGCCAGTCACTGGTATTTCCTGGTGCCATGGACTTCCAGGTGAATTCCAAAGACAGTGTAATTCTGCCCTTAAAGAGACTGTGCAGCACTGGGGCAGCAACGTAAAGCCTGTGGGCTGAGGGTCAGTGCCCTGTGAACTGGATGAAGCTGCCTGCTCTGTCCTTCCTTGCGCAATGTCCCCACAGCCCTGGCAGTCCATCTGTGGTGGCAGCCCCCGTGCTGCCGGTGTCTTAGCCTCTGACTAGGGTAAATAGGGGAATAGGTGATCTGACAGAATACAGTTAGCGTTTCCTGTAACGCTATTTCAGCGACAGAACAGCAATCCCCAATAAACACAGAGCTGGTTCTATGTCCGATCCTCATCCGAGACATTCCTAAACCTACTTCACTAATCAGACTGTATTTGTATAAAGGTTTGTTGTTACTGTTTTTCATTTTAAAAAGACCAGATAAATAGCCCCATCAGACTAACAGCTTCACATGTGTTAGCTCATGTAACCCTTCCTAAAACCCATGACGGTACTCTCCCCACTTTACAGATGAGGAAACTGAGGCCCTGGTGTTAAGTCATTTGCCCAGGGCTACATCACTGCTGGATGGTAAAGCCTGCCTGGCTACCCAGCAGTCTCTGAGATGCTCTGCTATCTTCTGGCCTCTTGGGCCTTTTCAATGAGGTGCCCGTGGCCCCTCAAATACTGTCTATCTAAAACAGTCATTTACTTCTAAAAACTGACTTTTCTTTCTTGACTTCCCTATTTCTTTCAGCCCCATATTTGTATTTGTCCTTATTAACACATGGCTATTTTGCATAGTGTAATACGAAAGAAAAAATTTCTACATTGTGACCACTAACCTCCAGATTCTGGCTCTTGCCAACAGTCTGACGTCTGGATGCTGGGTAATCTCAGAGGGTCCAGCTTCCTCCTCTGTTAAACAGGCCTCTTTCCTGCTCAATAATTTCTTAGACCAGGCTATCTTTATGGTGAATTTTACCAAATATTTGAAAAAATTAAAGAACAGTAAAATAAAAAAGCAAAGCAAAAAATTTTTAAAAAGCAATTTGTACCAGAAGAATTTTTATTCTGGCCACCCAATAATATGATTTTCTAGGAAAATTTTATAGCAAGAAAAAACAAACAAACAAAAAACTAAGAGGAAAGAAGTGTTCACAATTTTTAAATTCCTACGTCAATTATGGCACATCCACACAACGAAATATGTAACAGCCCTAAGCTATGCTTTTACGAGTTCTGGAAGACATAAACAGGAAATGCTTTCATGTTAGTGCATAAAAGCAGCTCTAATTAGGATGTCTCCACCTGGAACTGCACGGTGTGCAGATGCGTCCTCAAGTTCAATTTCCTAACATCTGGCTGCCTTCTTTCCTGCTCCTCTCTCTCCAAGTTCTGGGTTAATCAAATCTCAGGATCTTAAGTACAGTAATTCCTCTGCAAATTTAGGAGGCTTGCCAGCTACCAAAATCTACAGACACCACTGAAAGATGAGCGTGAACAAAGACAGCATCTAACAAAGAAACTCATCGCCTCTGCAGGGAGGCATGAGGTAGTCTCCCTCTGGGAGACCAACAAAGCCATAAGACTGGGACGCGCTTCGCTCAAGAACGAATCATAAACGGGAATGAGCAACAGTCACGCTGTCTGCTTACCGTCATGTGCCACTAAAAACAATGCACCTAGAAGTACTGTGCTTCTAGGGAGCAAATTCTAGAGGAGGAGCAGTTGTAGAATGTTGTTTTAATGAGAGAATTATAAAACCAGGCGGAAGAGAGGCAAATGGACACCGTTGGCTGAGAGCGTCAGAGCACTTAACCGAGGAACGAATCTCTACCCAGCTGTGTGTGGGGTGGGGGGCGGCTGCACAAGCTTGGGGACGACTTTGTTGCCATGTGTATTTGGAGATATTTTTCCTTTCCTTTTAATCGCTCTTCCAAACATGAATCCCTCATACAAAAGACAGCACTGAGCTAATGCTTAAGAAACATGTATAAACACATGTAAACACGGGTAAACACATGAGAAGGAACCCGCACGCGTTCAGCACCAATATACTCTTCCTTGCGATTCCATCTGTGTTTTCTTTATGTAACAGACTGCTTGTCAACGGGGTCTCTGTTTCAGAGCTGTTTGTGTGAGTAGAAAAAATCTTTTCTCCTTTAGAATCACTTCTATAACTGTAAATATAATTAATATTCAATGTGTCATTTAAATGTTATATGCCTTTTACTGAGCAAAAAGCTTTCCTCTTCCCCACAGAAATATAGTAATGTTATTTTAAAAATGCCTGATAGCCGAAATTAGAGTAATACATACTATAACTGGTAATGTTAAATTGCTATTACTTATTGTACCCTCGAAATTCTTAAGACTTTGGACAAAGACATGGGCTTCTCAGTAACTCACATGAAAGTCAGTTAGCACATCCTGACCACGTAACTGACACCCGGTGAACGCACACTTTAACCAGAGTGCTTTTAAAACGCGAAATTCAGAGGTACACCTCAGCAAGCAGGAGTTCTGGACGGAGGAACGGTATCTGACACCCTCACTGCTAAATGGCCAGTATACTTGGAATGTTTAATAACGTCTTTCAATTGTAAGAGCTGCTAACAGAGTCCTGTGCACGTCCGCGTGGCTACGCTTTCAGACACTCCAGCCACACAACAGGACGCGCTCGGAGGGGGAAGTGCAGCTAGGGGGCGCCACGGCCATCTATCTCCGCTGGTCCCAGGGCCGCGCCCGCCAACCCAGGCTGCTCTGACTCCAACAGCACCTGAAGCCTGAGGGAAACGGATCCTGAAATTGAAACCCAATCAGAACAGTTTCAAAATATAGCCTTAAAATTTAATGGTTAATAACATTTTTCTCAGAAGCAGCTAGTTGGTCCTATTGCTGACCCATGGAAAGAGTGATCACAGTGCTCACACCACACCCTCAGCACCCCAAGCCATCAGTCCTACAGACCAGGCTGGTCCTGCTTGTGCCTGTCCACACGGGGACTGTGAAATGGCACTGAGGTCCTGGGGTCAGCGACGGGGCACTTCACTTCCTAGCGGAGGAGCTGGTGCTTGGTCTCATTCTCACCATGGGGCAGCCAGAGCTGCTCCTGACTCCTGGCGAGACACGAGATGAGAATACATCACCTGCCATGACGTCCAGCCAGACTGCTTGCTGAGGTCCAATCCATCCTTCAGACCAAGGCTCCCATCCCAGGAGTTTCAAGAACCAAGGGAGCAAATATTGCCCCCAGGAGCGGGAGGCACTCTGCAGAGAAGCGGCTTGGTCCCTATGACAATCAGTGTCCCAAGGAAGAGTGTGCTCTGAACTCAGAGGGACCCTGAGGCCACTGCTCAGCCAGGACAAGGGCTGCTGCAGATGGACCTCCTGTCAGGACGTTGTGGGGCAGCTACGGAATCTGAATGTGATGGCTGTCAGACACTGTCGGGTGATTATTTGTGATCAGGGCAATCTGGCTACAATCTTATTTTTAAGAGATGCAGACAAGTATTTAGAGGTAAAATATCTGTATTTTACTTTAAAATACTTCAATATAAACACAGACTTTTTTAAAAGAGGAGTGACTGACTAAAACAACTGCAAAAAAATGAGTCGAGATGGTTCACATCTCAAAGGTGACAACTGTCAAGGAGGACGCGTCACTGGACAGACGGTGCCAGAGAGAGAAGCCCCCAAGTAAGTGCTCAGTGAAAAATCTCATCTCAGGTAAAATACCCAATTTTAAAAGCTCCCCTAAAAGAATTCAGAGACACCTGCAGGCTTGTTACACGGATGCCCAGAATCACTAGAGAGGGACTGGGGACCTGGAGTGGAGCACAGTGCCCCAGGACAGGCACCCCTGCGGACAGGAGCAGCAGGGAGCGCAGACCTTCACGGGCCTCCACGGTACTCGCTGCATCTGGCACCCACACGGGAATTATTTACTTTGCTCATCAATCAGCACCCTTTGTTCTGTACACACCTCACGAATAAGGAAGCTAGGGCAAGGCTCAGACCATGCTGGGGAAGAAGCTGGGCTCCATGATGCCATCCTGTGACGATGGGTGGCCATGAGCAACAGGTCGCCTTGGCGGGCAGCGCCGGCTGTGCCGGGAGCAGGGCAAAGGCTGTGCTGAGGAGCCTGCCAGGCTCAGCCTCTCTGGGGTATGAACTCCCTGGAACTCAGATAAAACTGGAGACTGTGGAGCACATGCGCACGTCCTCCCAGGGAGCCTGCAGCCCAGTGCGGGGACCAAAGCTGGCTTTCCCATGTGTTCAGGGACACGCGCAATCTGCACACACAGCACCCGCCTTCTGTATGGAAATATTAGATTCAGAAGTTAACGCAAACAGGACAAAAACAAGGAAATCGAACCTGAGGCCCAGCTGCCTGCAGACCACTTCTGCGTCTAGGTCATCCCACTGGTCGTCGCAGACGGTGCCCCACTGCCCGGCTCGGTACAGCTCCACGCGGCCCTCGCGCACACTGCTCCCGCCAGCCAGGCGCAGAACGGGGGAGGCTGGGCCTGCGCCTGGGAAAGCAAAGGCCGCAGAGTCACAGGGAACAGTAAGACTGGGTCCATCCTGCTTCCTTCCCAGTCTCGGAAACTGAGTAGCATTCACTAAGCCACTCCAGAGACAGCAGGCTCAGGCCGGTCCTGTCAGCACCCACTCGAGTCTAATGTACGCGTAAGTCAGCTAGCACTTATTAGCAAAAAATTAAAGACAGGTTTAATAAGCATAACTGCTCTCAACATTGTATATTAGCTTCTTACAATTGATGGCTAAATTATGGTAGAAAACAAATTTGCGTAAGTTATTGTGTGTATTTTCCTTTAAAAAACTTGGAAAATATAGAAAAAATAATTAAAAAATGTGTAAGTTTCTTAAGTTATTATATTTTCCCATCTCCCCACCCCTTACCACTGTGGTAAGTTTAGAGATAAAAGGAAAACAAAATATTCTAAGAGGGCTTTAAAATCACCTACAACCCAGAACGATTATGACATATTACCTTACATTTTTAATGTCATGTTTTATTTTAAAACATGTGGCTTTTCTGGTTTTATAATTGTGAAAATACAGAAAAGCTCAAGGACAAAACTGAGTCAACATCCCACATCCTCCCAACAAACCCACAAAGAATCATTTGAAAGAAAATTCCATGAGATAGCTGACTCATATTTAACTTTTGGACAAATAAAACCCCCAGATGTTTTCGTGGAGGTTGCTGTTTCCCATGTTCAGTGCCCACACAGTGTCCTGCTCTGCACGTGCTGGAAGGGCATAGGTACCAGGAGACAAGACACTAAATGTAATTTCCCAACTAAAAAAAAAATGCATTAAAGTCTGCTCTGGGCCTTGAGGCAGACTCAGTGTTTGCTGGTTTGAGCTATTTGCTTTCTTGGTCTCATTTACTTTTCCATAAGAGTATCTTTCTCTCATTCTCACTTCAAATTTATCTCAAGCTTCTATATTTTATATAGGCTGATAAATGACCTTAAATTTATCTTTGTGACCATAATTTAAACAAGTGGATAGCTTATAGAGAGTAGAAATAATTTTTTAAAAGTAGAGAAATCTACCAAAAGAAGAATAGTTATTGTTTTTAAGATTTTGCTTACCTCACTACCTGAAAATGTTGACCATTTTATCAATCAGGTTAACCCAGAATACAAGCAATAATCTACAAAAAGGCAGTGCACTGTAGAGCCCAAGCCACACCATCCCAAAGAAGCAATACACACATCTTTACTGGCCAAAAGCAGCCTCAGCCAAAGGAACAAGGGAAGAGAAGGGAAACCTATGAGACATCCAGGTGGAACATGCGCCCGGCCACCCAGAAAGGTCTGCAGGTCTCAGAGCACATCCTGCACAGCCCCACACACCCGCACAGCTCCCCACAAGCCCTGCCTGGCCCCACACACCCTGCAGGGTCCCTGTTCCACAGCGGCAAGGGTGCCTCCAGACAGCTCACAGTGAGGACAGTTTCTAAACTGGGTCTCTAGGTTCTGTGGTGGGAGCTTCTCTCTCCCTCTCCTGACACTTGCACTCAAACAGAAACCACTGCCCAGGGCTGGCTGCTAGCACTTCAAGACCTGGGACATCTGGTCACACTGCTGTCTCCCAGGGAAATGCAAAAAGGGATTCTGTGACAGTGTGATAGCACATTAAAATACACCACAGTCCCCAGAAAACCCACCGCCTTTGTGAGGGCAGCTGCTCCCCCTTTCGTTCCTATGAATGCATGCGTATCTGTGGACTGAAGCCGTTCTGCTGGCCACCTCATGCCTGTACATGGTGCTTAAAGGTCATTCCATAAAACCCAAAGGGGAACTGGCACCATGATCACACTTCGCCCTATAAAGCGGAAACATCTTGCTATAGTTGCTGCATTTATATTTGGTCTCAAGCTGATTTTCTACCATGACGCCATCATGATTTTCCGTTACCAAAACAAGAGTTTCCTACCCAGCATATAATTTTTCTGTGAGCAAGTTAGATAAAACAGAAAGCATGCTAACTGTGAGGTCGAATGGAATTCAATTTGTTAGACACACTCCTACGAAGACTAACTGTGAGTGAAGAACGTGCTGCCTCAGGCTCACGTCTGTATGTACACCTCCCGGGAAGGGGTTTAAGGAGACGCCTTTATCATCTGGACTCACGCTGAAAACACAATGAAGGGAAACAAGAACATATCTTTTTTACCATGGGAAGAGCTGCACCTGACAGCAGCTGCCATCTTCTGAGGACACGCCCCGCCCTGCCAGGTGTCCTTTTCGCAGAGCAGAATGTTTTCTTCATCTCCGCGGCAACGGACGCTGCTCCAGTGAACGGGAGCAAGGCCCCGGCCGGAAAACGGGGTGTGTTTCGCCACTCCTTTTCTTCTGCAAGTACAATGATCGATGTTAGGTTTATCAAAGGTAGGAGAATTTTTATCAAATCATTTAGATATTTTAAAATGGAAGAAATCCATAAAGATGGAAGAGTAAGAAAAAGAGAAACATATGGATTACATAAGTTTCAAGGAAATCACACTCGGGTGGATGGCCCATGGCCATCTTCTTAGTAATCTTGAACCACCAATGAACGGCATGCATAGGCCTTGGCTGTCTACGGCTGATGTTAGAAGAAAATGGGCAGATACAACGGAGATGAAAAGGGGACCTGGGTGGCTGTGGGAGGAGTATGTCACTGCCTGAGACCTGTAGTCTAGAATGGACTCAGCTCAGATCACTCCTCGCTGAGTCTGTCCAGGTTGCCTTCGGACATAGGAAAGAAGTCTGGGTGCTCAAAGAGTCCTTCTTACTCCCATATGTTAACCTAGATTTTCAAAATGATTATTATTATTATGTCTAAGCAAGCTAGTATCAAGAGAAGTCCATCCACATTTTTAAAACCTTATATACAGTATATGCTAGAAGCCTTTGAAACTAATTAATAAATTAATAACATGCAGATAAGCTCTGCTTTTAACACATCTAATTGACATGCTTTTATATGTACAAATAGAAATTAAATTTTAAAAAGATTTGATGGTAACCTGATTAACATGGTAATCTCCAGAACTGTCTCCATGCAACAGCTTCCATCCACCCCACAGTAAATATTTGGAGTATGTCTAAAACATGACTGTGTCCCCAGGCTGCTCTGCTCCTACTGTGAAACTCTGACTAAAAGTGACCACTCAGTCCAGCTGGTGTGGCTCGGTGGTTAAGAGTCCGCCCATGAATGGAGAGGTCACCAGTTCAGTTCCCTGTCAGGGAACATGCCCGGGTTGTGGGCTGGATGCCCAGTAGGGGGAGTGCAGGATGCAGCCAATCGATGTTTCTCTCTGTCCCTCTCCCTTCCTCTCTCTCTCAAATCAATAAAATCATATTCAAAGAACAAAAAACAAAAAAATACAAGGTACCACTCAGAGATGCTGTAAGCAACACAGTTGTCTGAAGTGTGCGTTTGCAGAACGGAGGTCTGTGCACTCTCGTCCGTCGGTGGACTGGTAGCCACCCTGGACTCCACCATCCACTACATGCTCTTGCTTCTCCAAGTCAGAGCCTCAGGGCACAGTGTTCCTCTTGGATTCTCAGGGGGAACCAAGGCACACACAGATGTGTGTATGAAGGAAGACACTGACGTCTACACACTGGTCACAACCTCAGGCTCTCCAAGAAAAAGCGTCAACATTCTTTGTGCGAAAAACACCCATTGATACAATCAGTAACTAACATTCCTAAACAGCGCACTTACATGCCCCGGCCTTCTCCTTCCCAATTTATACTCACGCTCGCTTTTAAAACTAGTTAGGTAATTAGGTACATTAACCCTGTTTGCTGCTCTAATAGCATCAAAAGTCCAAACAAAACGTAAGCCTTCAAGGTTTGCCTCTATTACACGCATTCCTCCCCCTCCTCATGGGAAGGCAGGAGCAAACTGGCAAAGATCTTACCAATTTCACTAGAGTTGAGCAACGTTTTCATTGCTATCATGGTACTAGATATTATCACTCTCTGATTATTAATGCAGAATATTTGACAACTGCAAACCTTTCTTTCAGGCTTTTAGACCTGCACTTTTTATAACAAGATATTTCTGATGTTTTCTAAAGATCTCTGGACATAAAGGCCAAGAAAAACATACGGCACGTGTAGTTAGAAAAAGAAATGAAACACAAAATCAGAACAATAAGAATAACAAAATAAAACTTTTGTTCCAAAACGGAGCCCCTGCTCCTGGTGAAACCCCTGGGCCCAGGCACCGAGGTGCTGGGCCTGGGGCCAGCATGGGCACTGATCTGTTTTAGTGAGAGTGCTCAGGGTTGCGGGGAGCCAACGTCGCCCCAAACTATCGGGACAAGAGCACAGGTGAACGTCACCTCCCTCATACAGAAACACGGAATCTGGGGGGGCTGAAAGGAGAGAGAGAAGAGCAAGGGGCAGCAGCCTAGGACTACACGGCTCCTGAGGAATTAGTTCTGGAACCAGAGGCCCTGCTTCCTAGGACTAAACAACCGTCTGCTTAAAGAGAAAGACCAAAAGTTGGTTTCTACTTCTGCCCACCAAGCATGGCCCACTTCCTGCCGGCAGGGGTAGCGAGATGTGGGGTGCACTGTGAGTACACGCGGGGTGCCAGCTCATTCCCTCCCGGCCCTTCCTCTGGGCTCTGCTGAGGAAAGCGAGAGTGAGACTGGGGAAGGAAGAGGGGCCCTTTCCACAGTAACTCGGTGCGCGTCATTCTCGGACACGCGCAGGCTGGCCTGTGTGAGGACAGGACCAGGACGGGGAACTCACCCCAGCTGCAGCTGGTGACAGACGACGGCAGCATCGGCGTCATCCCAGTGGCTGCTGCAGACTGTGCCCCAGGCTCCACTGGCAAACACCTCCACTGTGCCTTCCAACTCATCCGGGCCACCACGAAGTCGCACCAACCCTGAAATGCAGAAGGACCCCAGGCCCTTTAATGGCGATGATCGAGTGAACGTACTAGACGGGCCCTCACTTAACATACTTCTCCACGGAGGTGGCGCAAGACCAGCCAGAGTGGCTTGGCCTCCACTCTTCAGCACGAGGCTCTTCCTTTAAATGAGGATTCAGCAGGGCTTATGGGGTTTAGTGGGGTTTTTGGTGGGAAGGGGGGTAATTAACAGGCTCATGTCAATGCTAACTACACTGCAGTTTTTATCTGGGCGAAGAGAAAGTGCAGCTGTAATTTGAAGGGGAAGTGGGAGTGCGTGACTGACTCCGACACCGCATCCCGAGCCGCAGGTTACATCTGCAGGAAGCTCTCACCCCTCACACATCACCTCCCGTCCCCACGTGAGCTCATATAAGGAACAGAAACAAAATTCAGGGCTCTGCCCGTAACTTCGCTGCCACTGTCTGGGTCCTATCTCCTTCTACCTGATTTCTTCCTCCACGAGAAAACAATAAAATGCTTTTCCCCCTTCAAGCAGCATAAACCAAAGATATGGCTATGATTCCCAAACCGTGCTTGCGTGGAAACAGGCCTAACGTCAGTCTGAGGGGACCGTCACCAGGTAGAGTGGCTGGAGTGACTTCCCCTCACAGACCATCCCCACCCAGCTGCTCCATCGCCCACGGTTTGAGTCACCTTTTCAGGCTTAAAAGGGGCAAAATTTAAGTTCAAGAACCACTCGGAAAATAAAACGTTAAGTTCCATTCAGTGTGGACCAGGCCCTGCACTGCTCTTCCCGTTGGCCCTGGCGGACGGGGCCGACACCTAGGACAGCAGCTGGCAACAATGTCCGAGGGAATCAAACTCGGACAGCTGAAGAATTTCACAAAATCCTGTGAAAAGTCACTTAGAAACGCCTTTACCTTCATAGGTAAAGAAATTAAGTCCTACCAAAAAAATCCCGGTATGTTTTGCATATTTCAAAGTTATTATATTTGGATTTAAAACAATTTTCCAAAAACACTCGATTCACAAACGATCCCTTCATCTCACTAGCACCAGCCTTGTCACCAACAACTATTCTTCCCACATCACCATCCCCGAACATGTAACTGTCTAAGAGAAACATCCTATTTCTCATGACAAGCAGTCATTTCATTCAAAGGAAAGGGGACGATAAATGGAGACAAGCACCACGGCCGGATCCTGACTGTTCGGGGAGAGCGTGGGCCTGGCGCTACCGGGCAGGTCATCTGACACCCTGACCTTCAGTTCAGGCTGGGCAGAGGAAGCGGCTCAGAGCAAAGTGTGAACCTCTGAGCACTTTTAAAGGGACACAGCTGAAGAGTTTGGCTGAACTTCAGTATGTTTTAATCACAAGACCTCTTCTACACAAAGCCACATAAATCACCATAGTATGTATATCACCAATGCCAGCAGTTTATTTCATTCCAAGGAATCTGTTTGTTTACCTCAAACTGACATTATCTGAGATAATACATTTAATCTATTATCTCTTTATTAACCCAAAGCCACCACCACCAAATTACTCATGTCAAAGGTTGGAAGAAAGATCTGGTAGTGAAAACAAATGGAACTCAACTTAAGCAGGTTAAATAACCCTAATGAATGTAAAAGGGTGCCTCAGTCACTAACCAGCAAGCAAGAAGAAAGGATTAGGCAGCCAGAGGCAAGAAGGAGGAAACTGCATAAAGCCTGCTGTCACCAGGACATCAGTCTGAGACAAAGACAGTGCTGGCAGGCCTCCAGCCATCTCTCCCATCACTTCTCAGGTGCTGCAAACCTGCCCGAAGCCTGCTCCCCGGAGCTGCATCTGTTGGACAGTAGGGACCTGCAGCTCTCCTCCAGCTTCCCTTCAACAAGTGACCACAGATGCCTGCAGGCAGGAAAGGCAATCTGCATGCCAATGACTGATAAATTCTCCTCCAGAATCCACACAGCACCGGAATCCACACAGCACCAGCACCCCCAGTGCACACCTTCCTGGCAGCTCCCTCCAGCCAGTTTATCCCTCCCTGAACAATTTCTAAAGTACTCTGAGACATCTACCTTGCACTCAGAGCATTTCCTAATGGTTATAATTCTATGAGGTCCTCAATTCTTCTAAAATTTTGTGCAAGAGTTTTCTGGCATGTTTTTTTAATCAATATAGCCCTGACCTTGTGGCTCGCCGGTTGGCTGGAGCGTTGTCCTGTACACCAAAAAGGCTGCGGGTTCCATTCTCGGTCCGGGTGCATACAAGAGGCAACTGATCATGGTTTTTTTTCTCACATTGATGTTTCTCTCTCTCTTTCTCTTTTTTTCTCTCTCTCTTCCTCTCTCTCTAAAATCAATAAAAGCATATCCTAGGGTGAGGATTTTTAAAAAGTCAGTACAATATGTTCCAAAATGATAAAAGTGTGAACATAACTTACACTGTACACATTTAAAGTAAGAAGTTATTTCTTTGTTTTGGTTTTACTTTGTTCTTGCTTCATTTATTCTCTTAAAATGGTTGAGGCGATGGAGATTCTGAAAACAGTAATTCATTTCCCTCAGCTTATGGCTGAGGACACTGTGGACCAGTCACCTGAGCAGCTGCAGAGCAGTGGGTACTGTCCCCTGATCCCCCACCACTGCACCTGGTCTCCAAACTCGGGCAAAGAGCCTGCGGCATAACAAGCGCCTGCTGCTCCTGCTGGATCAGTCACTTTCAGAGTTGTGCCGCGCCGGCTTTCACCACGCTGTGTGAGAGATGACAGCCAATCTGGCCAGCGTTCTGTGGGAAGACGTCAGCCAGCAGGAGCACAGGGCAGCCTGGAGAGTCTGTGCTGGGGACACAGGAGAGGGGCTTCCCGGCTCTCCTTTGAGCCCGGGCCTCCAGGGGGCACCGCTCTGTCCTATGAGCTGCACAAATGTTAGGAGGAGCATGCGTTTGCACAAACCTATGGGTGCACAATTACAAGGTAAAGAGGGAAAATATCCTTAGCTCAACGGAAAAAAAAAAAAGAATAAAGCAATCCAGAAAGGTCACCACCTGGTGAACTCATTTCCATTGCTAACATACTAACAATAAAATTCTTCAGGTACATTCTAGGCCAATTTCTTTGTTTGGCAAATGTTCAATTGTCACAATCTCTTACTATGAAAACCTGACCCCCTTCCTTGGCTCCCACGCTCTCCTCCAGCTGAGCACTCCATGTGCTCCCACCAGTCTCAGCTAACGTCTCTGGACCACACCCCAGCGACCCAGGACTAGGCTGTCTTTAAGTGTCTCAAGTGCCATTTGGGTGGAAACTCCTCTAAATATTCCTGTTTTTAAAATGTGTTACCAGTAATAATTGATAATCTGAAGTCTCAAACGGAGGTTTTAGGTCAACAGTAACAGGCATAACCAATATACAGACCAAACCAGTAATAGAAGAGTCTGCAACTGTAAAGCTACTCATGATGGCAAGTCATGGACAGGAGCCCTGAGCTCCTGAAATGAACTGGTGCAAAAAATAGTCAAAAAGCAGTCCATTGTAACAAGTCTGCTGGTACAACCACCTAAAGGTGAAACGTGCCCAGGTCCAGGATTGATCAGAATTCTGCTATCTTGTCTGCCAAACATGTGGAATTTACTGTCCTTTTACTATACTATTATTTTTCTTCCATGCAGATATATCTTCAGATTTATAAAGAAAAGGGAACAGAAAAGATTCATGTTAAAGAAATTTGCTTTATGGGCAACTTTGCTGAAAAACAGAAATTCCCCAAACAAAAAGACACTGCAGAGGGGTTCCCTCTGACCATTTCACCAGTCTCAGTCGATGCAGGTAATCTAGAGAGGCACATCAGGCTAGATTAAAATTCCCCTCAGTCTCAGTGGGTTTTCGGTTCTTAAGGCTACTGTAATGGGTTGAATTCTGTCCCTCAAGAAGATGCTGAAGACCTAACTCCCAGGACCTATGGATGTGACCTTATTTGGAAACAGGGTCTTTGAGGATGACCATTTAAGATGAGGTCATTAGGATGGGCTCTAATGCAGTATGACTGGGTTCTTGTAGAAAGGGGAAATTTGGGCACAGACACACACAGGGGGAGAACACCACTTGAGACTGCCATTACCCACCCCCAGTCAAGGAGCTACCAGAGGGTGGGAGAGAGCCCAGGAACAGAGCCTGCCCTGGGCCCTCAGGCCTGGCTCTACAGACACCTTTATCTTGGGCTTCTAGGGTCAAGAACTGTGAACCAATAAGTTCCTGTTGTTTAAGCCTCTTGGTTTGTGGGACTCGTTACAGCAGCCCAAGCAAACTAATCAAGCCATCATGGTGTCCCCTCCCTGGACAATCTACCTCCTCACACTCCAGACTTCAGGGAGGCCTACAAGAAATAGCAGGAAAGAAACCAAAGGTCAGCTATCTTTGTTCTCTAAATCCAGCTCACTCCAAAGTAAACCAAGTGAAAAGATAGGCCTCCTTAGTTACCTTCTCAAGATGTACTTACAGAATAGCACTGACTCACCTGAAGAGGAAGAAAAACACAGCAAAAACAAAGACCTGTCTCCATAGGGTTTTCTGAATAGAACTGATAATACATATTTTAATCTTTTAAAAATCAGTTTGACAAATGAGTAAAAGAAAATTAACATTATCACATAAACCCTTTCTCATCTATTACTGAACTTCACAGAGGCACAAAATAATAAACTTTGGTCATATCTATTGTTCCGGTGGAATCAGAAAAAATGCATGCTGGAGACATCGAGCTATCATCTAATCCTTGATAGGAGCATATGTAAAACTGACAGCGACATAGAAATTTCAGTTTATGATCTATTAGAAAAAAGAAAATGTCTATTACATGTTGGACAATTTAGTACACACACGTCACATGTGAGTTAAACATAATCTATGTCTTATACCAAAAGCAACACTGGAATACACTAAATGTTTCTTAAGTACAGTTGGTGGGGGCTAGATTAATTCTGATGTTATTTTCTTCCTACACTCTACCTGACAACACTAAGGTATACTACTATTTTTGTCTATGATTATATTTCCCCATAACTGAAACCAGTTTAAGCATGGTGAAACAGATTTTACTGAAATCATGCCACGTCAAAATGAAATAAAATTATTTTTAACATATGGAGCAGTCCCCTGCACAGAGATCCAACAGAGCTGTATCTGCCTCCATTAGCTCACATCTATAATTCATACTAATTGCCATGTATTATTTATGTAGATACTGTTAGTACTGAGAAAAAAAAATCTGAACTGGTCTAGTTCAAAATACGAGCATATCCTCTGAATAGCAATTCTACCCATTTACACTGGGCTTATCAGAAACTTATAAATCTTATCAAGTATTCTCTGGTTTGGAACATTATACAGTATTATACAAAAGAAGAAGACTCTATGCATTAATTTATGGTGTACTAACAACAGATGAATGTACCCACCCTCGCAGAAACCTCACAAGCGATGTGTGAGAACTGCTCACGCGTGAACAGATGGTACGAGTGTCACCATCATACGTATATCACTGGGAGACGAAACAGGCTCCACCTCAAGTAACCCTCTTCTGCCTCCCGGGGCGGGAATCACAGGAAAGGCAATGAAAATGCTCAGGATTCTTCTGACACCTCAGCCGGCCTGTGGGTGTCCTCAACCCGAGGACACGGGTGATTTCTTAGGCATCTTTGTAAAGTCTGCTCCTGGTGTGAACTCAGCAAACATTCAGTGACTCTACCCTCGCCTTGTTACATGAATCAGCATTTTCCACTCTTGGTAATCCTAATAAAAAGTACTGAGGCTGAATGTGTAGGCATGGCTTGTAGGAGGAAAAATCTCATTACTTTAGTGCTTTGCATACAATAATTGTTCTTAATAGTGTGCTGATTTGCAGAAGAGGGGAGAGGGGTGAGAGGAGGAAACTACTCTGGAAAAGTAAGATGCTAAAGAGGCAAAAGTCAACATTTTCTGACTTTCAGGTATAGATTTCTATGATGCATGATCTGTATATTGCATTGTGTGCCCACCATCCAAAGTCAAATCATCTTCAGTCACCATATATTTGACCCCCTTTACCCTTTACTATCCCCACCCCCTTCCCTCTAGTTACCACTATACTATTGTCTGTGTGATGAGTTTTAGTTTTATATCCCACATGTAAGTGATATGATACGGTTCTTAGGTTTTTCTGCCTGACTTATTTCACTTAGCATGATATTCTCAAGATCAATCCATGCTATCACAAATGGCAGTGCTTCATCTTTTTTATGGCTGAATAGTATTCCATTGTATATTTGTACCACATTTTCTTTATCCAATCATCTATGGAAGAACACTTTGGTTGTCTCCATATCTTGGCCACTGTGAATAATGTTGCAATGAACATAAGAGTGCATACATCTTTGTAAATAAGTGTTTTTGAGTTTTTCAGGTAAATACCCAGAAAAAGGATGGTTGGGTCATATGGTAGCTCTATTCTTAACTTTTTGAGGAACTGCCAGACTTTTCCATAGTGGCTGTACCAAGTTTACATCCCCGCCAGCAGTGAGTGAGGGTTCACTTTTCTCCACAATCTCTCCAACACTTATTACTTGTCTTATTGGTAATAGCCATTCTAACAGGTGTGAGGCGGTATCTCATTGTAGTTTTGATTTGTATTTCCCTAACAGCTAGTGAGGTTGAAGATCCTGTCATTTATCTGTTGGCCATTTGTATGTCTTCTTGGGAGAAGTGTCTGTTTAGGTCTGCCCATTTTTAATTGGCTTGTTTATTGAGTTTTATGAATTCTTTATATATTTTGGATAGTAAACCTTTGTTGGAGCTATTGTTTGCACATATCTTCTCCCAAAGTTGGTTGCCTTTTTGTTTTGTTGGGGGTTTCTTTTGCTGTGCAGAAGCTTTTTAGTTTGATATAGTCCCATTCTTTTATTTTTGCCTTTACTTTCCTTGCCTTTGGGGTCAAATTCATAAAATCTTCCCTAAGATCAAGGTCCAAAAATTAGTACCTGTTTTCTTTTATGTAATTTATGTAATTTATATATTACCTATATTTAGGTCTTTGATCCATTTTGAATTAATTTTTGTGCACAGGGAGAGTCTATAATCTAGTTTCACTCTTTTGCACGTGGCTTTCCAATTTTCTGAGCACCACTTACTGAAGAGGCTTTCTTTTCTTCATTGTAGGTTTCTGGCTCCCTTGTAAAAAATTATTTGGCCATATACATGTGGTTTTATTCCAGGGAAGTAAAAGTATTTTATATCTGCCTTAGCCTGAAAAACAGATTGAGCTCAATATTTAAAATCCAGCCAGGAAATGTATCAAATCTGGCTTTGCTAATAAATGTTTTTCAGCACCTGCTAAACATAATCAAAATGCAGCATTTTTTTAAGGGACAGCTTACAACCAACTTTTTAATTAGCATTCACTTCAAACACCAGATGGACATGGAAGAGTCCAGTCTGTGAACAACTGTTCTTCCCATCGTCTGCTGCGTCCACCTGCAGCAGGAGGTTTGGGTGGGTAGGTACATATGAACAGATCAGCGTGACACGGCAGAACATCAGATCCACGCACCATTCTTCCTGGTAGAATGCCAATTATTAGAGCATTATCATTTATTGTACCTGTTTCACCCCTCAGTCACCAGTCGCCTACAGTTGGGTTCCACCTGTGCGCTGTAATGAAGAGGACCCCGTGACGCAGAGTCAAGCAAGCTGCCTGCCTGCCACGACCATGGAGACGGAGACTCCCCCTCCTAGTCAGGTGTTGTCAAGGGCATCATTGCCTATTCACTCTTCCTGCAGACACGTGAAAACAACCTGGCTTGGGTTCAGTTCAGAACGTAACCTGGTGAACCAGGCTGCTGTTATCTCACACTGGTCAAATGGACACCAGGGGTGCCATTTTCCTACCCACACACAAGGGAACATGCTTGACCCTAACCTAGCAGGACTAAGTCACAGAAGGGTGGATGCACTGGACAAACAGTTCCCTTCCTCCCTCCTTTCAGACTAGGGGGTTTTTGGGCCACATGGGAATTCCCACATGTTTACATAACTAAAGAACTAGAGCTAAAGGAGCCTTGAGGTGACGATGTGCACCACCGTGTAATGCTGCTGTGAGAATTAAGTGAGAAAATCAGTGTGCAACTCGCTGAGCCCAGCACCCAGCACACAGTGAATGCGCGGCTACCCCAGGCAGCTAACTGACCAGGCCGGGCTGTGGCAGCGCTGCTCAGAGCTGGCCAAGTCCTCTGAATGAGCCTGTTCAAAAACTGCCTTCTCCAGACAAGCCGTGGGGGTTAAGACATGTCCCCAACATGCATCGCTGCTCACGGAGCCTAACGGACACCGATGTTCCCTAGAGCACAAGTCCATCCTCTCTTTCACCAGGCGTGGGAGCTCTGCTCACGCCCCTACATGAACGTGGCACCGAGATCGCCACGAGGTTCCGAATACACCAGTCCTTTCCAGGTAAGAGTTATGCCCGGCAGACGTGGGAGTAAATGCCAGAATGGGTTATCAAGACTGAGTCTGTGAGAGCAAGTACAGCGTTCCAAGGCCAGCTGGGGGCAGGGGCACTGATCTCCCACCCTGGCGGTTTCTTTGCCTCTCTGTGTTCCTTCCCTTCACTCCAGGAAGTGCACAGCTTTTATACAGAGTCTGGACTTCTGTCTGGTGGGATTTCACCACGAACGTAACAGCACCACAGAGGCTGTGCTGTGTGAGGTGTAACTTTCTCCTCAGCCCCAGTGGGGGAGGCCACTCCCTGTGTGGAATATAAAGTAACTTGGAGTCCCACTGTTTCTTCCTACAGCTACATATAAACTATGAAATAAACACGAGAGCAGGAAAATGAAAGGCTGCGCTGTTTGCTAAGCGTGAGCTTTTCCTGAGACTTTCTGGGAGGGTGAGAATTGTAAGGGCTGGTGGCCTGGCATCCTTCGGGCGGCGCTTCACAGCCACCTCTGCATTCTGTCCACGGAACACAGGCAGAGCGATGACTTCATTCCGTAGGATGAAGGATGCGGGGTCTAACCTTCCTGTCATGTTAGCACTAATGCAATAGAAGGCCCCAGTGCATAAAACCCTGTAGGGAAGAAGGCACTGTGACAGCTAACCTGCAAATTACCTCCAAAAGGCACGAAGGACATCTTTCGGAATCCCAGTTCAGGACGCCCCTGCCCACGGCCTGCATGGAGAGCTGCCTTTTTTATCTTTTTTTTTTGAAGGAAAATGTAAACTTTGAAGGACATAAGCTTTTTCTTCCCCAGCTGCTAAGGAAGGAAGCCCTTGTATTAACAAAACCCAAGCTCAAAGCAAAGGGCTGTTCTAAGGCAGATCGTTCATGTTCACGAAATCCACTCATGTGATGCCTTTATTACCACAAAACTGGAACATCTCTCCTCGAATCGCGGTTTTCCATAGAATCACGCAGGCTGAGCAGGGGCGCCGTGGGGCTTTCCTCCTACCTCCCTCTCGCCTTCTCCCGCCTTCCCTCCCTGGAGATGCTGCCCACGGGCTGCCTGGGCAGCCAGCACCATCATGACAAGTGTCATTCTGGCCCAGAAAGTTTGCCATACTTCTTCAAACAGAGGTCAACGTGGAAGTTAGGACACAATCTTTACATTTTTTTCAAATCGGAGTCTGTGGGGAGGGAAAAGGTTATTGGTTGTCATATTAGATTTAGTACTCCCCTTTCCAAAACAAGTAACTAGAAACTTGCTTCTTTTACACCTTTAAGGCAAGCTGATACAAAGAGCACACTTCCACCCAACGCACATGCGCGTGTACACACGCACACACACGCACACACGCACACACGCGCGCGCACACATGCACACACGCACATGCGCACACACGCACACATGCACACACACGCACGCACACGCACGCACGCACACATGCGCACACACACACACGCACACACACGCGCGCGCGCACGCACACACACACGCACACGCACACAGACCAGGCAGAGACACGACGACATCCACGCACCCGGAGCGCAGCACCTGGCGCAGGGACCATCACCCCTGACAACCCGGACAACGCACACCCTGCAGTTTAACTCAGGGTACCAAGGCACGCGGCTGGAAACTCCGGGCAGCCCGTCGCCC